AAAAAAAAAAAATAGGTCATAGTTACTGGACCAGTAGAGTCAAGAAAAACCCACTTGACTATCACCCTGGAATAAACTTGGAATTCAAATCACTGTCAGAAGTCACCATTCAACCAAATGATAGATTGTCCCTTAAACTAAATAATATCACCTGTGAGTGCTGTGCTTCTCTAAATAAAAACTAACAGTAAGCATTTATCCTAGAATAAATATGAGAAGATAAGAGAGGACAAGGAAGCTTGATCAGAACAAGGGATAAGGGAGGACAGGGAAGCTCGAACAGAACAAGAAAAATGAAAATAATAAGAATACTGGCACATTGTGAAAAGTGTAGCCAGTGTCACTGAGCAATAGTATGTGGTGGTGTTGGTGGCATGGAGCCAATTCTGACTCATAGCGACCATGCATAGAACTTTTAAGGCCGTAAATCTTTACGGGAGCAGACAGCCTCACCTTTCTCCTGCAAAATAGCTGTTGGTTTTGAACTGCTAACCTTGAGGTTAGCAGCCTGACTTGCAATCACTATACTACCAGAGCTCCTTGAACAATATGCATAGAAATTATTAAATGAGAACCGAATTTGCTATGTAAACTTTCACCAAATACACAATGGAATATTTTTAGAATAATTGTCAATGATAAATATTGCAACTTTACAATTTTCTTATTTACTCATTTACATTTTTTTTAAATATACAACTTGAAAGAACATTTATTTTGTTGAACTGATTTTTAGAAAAATTGAGATTTTTGTTAAATATATCATTGACCAATGAGTCTACACATTATGTTTAAATTGCTTACTTTTGTATTTTTTCAGTTTACACAAATCATTATCCCAAGAAGAAAATCTGAAGGATCAGTTTAACCATACCCTTAGAACCTATGAAGAAGCTTTGAAAAACAGAGAGAACGTCATTTCCATCACTCAACAACAAAATGAGGAGCTGGCTACCCAACTACAGCAAGTTCTGACAGAACGAGCAAACACAGAATTACAGCTTCAGCATGCCATAGAGGCCTCCCAAGTGGCCAGTGAAAAAGTTCAGAAGTAAGTAAAATGATCTTTCATTACTTCAAAAGCTTAAAATGAAAGAAAACAGAACTGTCTTGATGATTAAACAATGTTATTTATTATCTGGCACTTTTCATAGTTTAAAGCAAAAGTAGATTAGACTAAATGAAATTGATAGATTACATATCACTCATTCTTAGAGTCAAAAGTTATTTTCTTGGGAATCATTACTATTTAGGCAAATAATTTTATTTAATAACTGATCTTTATCAGTTCTTGAAGACTGTACTACTTAAAAAGCATTTTGCCCTCCCAACTTAATAGAAAAATTATTAACAAAGGAAAACACATCAGTCAAATTACCGCCTGTACTCATAAAGCTTTGTTTGATAATCCAGCTTGAATTGAGATAATTTGTAACCTATAATATGATATCTCCAGGACCTTGAACATATCCCACCTAAATTTAGAGACCATCTCAAGAACAGATCTGATGCATCAAACACTAATGACCAAAAACCAGAAGAGAGGTGGGATGACATCAAGAACACCACATAGGAAGAGAGCAAAATGTCATTAAAACTATGAAATAGAAAGAAAAGACCAAAGTGATGGAATAACAGATTTTGAAACTTTTTCTCCAGTGTAGAGATACTAAAACAAATGGAAGAAACAAGGAGGTAAAAAAGTTGAACAGAAATTTTCAAAGGGTAGCTCAAGGAGACAAAATCAAATATTATAATGAAATGTGCATAGATTTGGAATTAGAAAAACAAGCTGAAAGAACTGAGGAAAAAATTCAAGCCTCGACTTGAGATACTGAAAGAAACTTTGGGGAAAATACTGAATGATACACGAAGCATCTAAAGAAGATGGAAGGAATACACAGCCACTGTACCAAAATAAATGGTTGATGTTGAAGCATTTCAAGAGGTTGCATATGATCAATAGCCAATGGTACTGAAAAGAGAAGTCAAATTTGCACTGGAGGCATTAGCAAAGAACAAAACTCCAGAAATTGATGGAATACTACTTGAAATCTTTCAACAAACTGATGGAGCACTAGAGACACTCACTCATCTATGCCAAGAAATTTAGAAGACAGCTAACTGGCTAAGTGATTGGAAGAGATCCTTAATTTGTGCCTATTCCAAAGAGAGGTGAGCTAATGGCGTGTGGAAATCATTGGACAGTACCATTAATATCACATGCAAGTAATGTGTTCCTAAAGATAATTCAAAAACGGCAGCAACAATACATTGACAGGAAATTGACAGAGGTTCAAGCTGAATTCAGATGAGGATGTGGAATAGGGATATTATTACTGACGTCAGATAGACCTTAGCTGAAAACAGACAATACCAGAAAGATGTTTAACTGTGATTCATTAACTATGCAAAGGCTTTCTAGTGTGCAGATTATGACAAACTATGGACAACATTGCACAGAATGAGTGTTCAGGAACCCCTAATTTTGCTCATAAAGAAACTGTACATAGGTCCAAAGGCAGTCGTTTGAACAGAACAAGGGAATACTGAATGGTTTAAAATCAGGAAAGGTGTTTGCCATATTTATTCAGTCTGTCCTGGTGTGGTGCTGGGGGTTAATGCACCAGACTGCAAAGACCTTTGAACTGCAAGGTTGGCAGTTCAAGCTCACCAGCTGCTCCTTGGAAACCCTATACAGGGTCACTATGGGTCGGAACCGACTCGACAGCACTTAACAACAACAACATGCTGAGCAAATAATTCGAGAAACTAGATTATATGAAGAATGTGGCATCAGATTGGAGGAGTCATTAGCAACCTACAATATGAAGATGACACAACCTTGCTTGCTGAAAGAGAAAAGGACTTAAAATATTCACTGGTAAAGATCAAAGACCACAATCTTCAGTATGGGTTGCGTGTCAATGTAAAGAAAACAAAAATCTTCACCACTAGAAACATCAAGATAAATGGAGAAAAGATTGAAGTAATTAAAGACTTCATTTTGCTTGAACCCACAAACAACATTCATGGAGGCAGCAGTCAAGAAATTAAACTATATATTGCACTAGGCGAATCTGCTGTACAAGACCTCTTTAAAGTTTTGAAAAGCAAAGATATCAGTTTTAGAATTAAGGTGCACCTGACCCACGCCATAGTATTTTTAATAGCCTCACATGCATGTGAGAATTGCACAAAGAATAAGGAAGACCATAGAAAAATTGATACAATTGAATTATGGTGTTACTGAAGAAATTTCAGAGTACCATGGTGGTGGTGGCAGTGTGTCGTGGAGTCAGTTCCGACTCATAGTGACCCTGCAATGGGTTTCCAAGGCTGTAAATCTTTACAGGAGCAGAAAGCCTCATCTGTTTCCTGAAGAGCAGCTGCTAGTTTCGTACTGCTGACCTTGAGGTTAGCAGCCTGACTCGTAACCACTATGCTACCAGAGCTCCTTTCAAAGTACTATAGACTGCTAGAGAAATACAGAAATCTGTGCTTGAAGAATTATGGCCAGAATGCTCCTTGGAAGCAGGATGGTCAGACTTTTTCTCTCATAATTTTTACTTATTATCTATCAGGAGGGAACATTTCCTGGAGAAGGACATCATGGTTAATAAAATCATGGTCAGTGAAAAATAGGAAAACCCCAATGAGATGAATTGGCACAGTGGGGGCAGCAATGGGTTCAAGCATAGCAATAATCCTGAGTTTGGCACTAAACTGGGCAGTGTTTTGTTCTGTTGTGCATAAGGGCACCATGAGTCAGTACCAACTAGATGGCACCTAACAACACAGAAGAATAGAGCTGCTTCTTAGGATATCCAAGACTACAAATCTTTATAGGTGCAGACTGCCTCATCTTTCTCTTGCAGAATGATTGGTGGGTTTGAACTGCTGACCTTGTGATTAGCAGCCTAACACATGACCCACTACACCACCCAACTACAGAACTGCATGAAATGAAAATAATTACAAGGCTTATAAGTTTAGAAGCTATTTTAAATGGAAGTGGAAAAGAGCTGGCCACCGCTCCTCATAAAATAAAACTTTATATATAATAGTTATATGTTACCATTCACTCTCTAACCTTTACTTGATTCTAAATAATTATAATAGTTGTTGTTGTCAAGTGCTGTTGAGTTGCTTCTGACCCATAGCTGTTTTCATTATGCAAAAATCTTACTTTAAAAGCACCCACATTTGTCACATACCATCTTAAATTTATGTGAGTTCTGCTGATCTAAATTTTCACAGCATAATTAAAATATCAAATATTAATATGTTGTGTTGTTGTTAAGTGCCATTGAGTTGGTTCTGACCCACAGTTACCTTGTACAGGGTAGCTGAGGCCATAAATCTTTGCAGGAGCAGAAAACCTCATCTTTCTCCCACAGACTGGCTAGTGGGCTCAACCACTGACCTTGTGGTTCTCAATCCAGCACTTACATTTCATCATCACTGCACTCCCAATATCAATATAAATCCTTTCAACTGATAGATTTTAAAGTAGAAAATAGCCCTTTAAATTATAGCGCATCCTGCATGCTTTGAGTAGTATTGCCAGAAAAAGAACATAGAAAGCTTACAAAGTCGTCCTTGCCTCTTGACCAAATACTGGTTTCTGTGAAGAAGTTGAGGTTTTCCTGCTGGTAAGAGCTGTCTGTAGTTGTCTTTGAAATATCAGGAGAATCACCATAGTGTCACACAAGGGTTCTTAGCTTAAAACAAACATACTTTCCACAAACTCAGATGCTTAATCTGTTTGATGGCTAATCTATAAAATGGACTCGATGACTCTGGGTTCTGGGAAAGGAAAGAGCATTTCCACAGTTTGTTGGTTAAAAAAAAAAAAAAACCAACCTGCTATTGTCATTTTTTAAAAAGCATACTGTTTCATCAAAAGATTTCACTCAAATTTTCTAGCTTTATTTCTGGCTCCAGAATCTTATTTTAGTTCTAACAAAAAATCATTGTGCTAAAATATCATTAAGAAGTTTAATATGCAAAACACCAGTAAATGTTTTTATCAATCCATTGTCTTTTCATCAGAATGATTGTTTCTGTCAACTTTACCTGTGACTTTTTTGGTTTAATATCTTGGCTGGACTACATGTACTAAAGCAACAGTAAACATGTCTGAACACTTGGTAAATAGTTGTTGATTAAATTAAAGAATAACCTTTTTTTTTTTTAGTCTCTCACTTCAGGCATGAATTTAAAATCAATATGTAATATAATGTCTAAAGTTGGCTTTTATTTATTAGTATAATTTATAAGTGGAGGACTTAAAATCTTCTCTAGAAATTGTTCTTCAATTTTTTTTTGTTTGAGATTTAGCAACTCTGTGAAGTAAGATAGCTACCTCATCAGACAATAGATACAATAGTTAATATGTGAATTTATCAGCAAATGCCTTCACCAGTTATCTTTGAAAGTCACCTTTTAAATCTAGATCTAAATAGGATAGCTACATTGTTATTTGTCTATAGAAAATGGACTCAGCTATGTAACATTTTACATGCTTAATGTGTGTTCTTGAACACATAGTATGCTTTTTAGCAATGTCATATTCGGAGTTGGTAAATCATAAAACACATTTTCAGTTGCCTAAATATACATTGACTTATGGAATGTAATTGGTCCTTGTGGTACTCTATCTAACAAGTGTGTATTGTATGGAAGTTATCAGTGCTATTATATGTTTGTTTAGTGAATCACTTAGTTATAGTATAGGTTTTGTTGTTGGTGGTGGTGATGGTGATGTGTGCCATCAAATAGATTCCAAATCATGGTAACCCTATAGGACAGAGCAGAATTACGTCAAGGGTTTCCTAGGCTGAAATCTTTGCTGGTGAAGGTAACCATGTCTTTTCTCCCTTGGAGCAGTTGATGGGCTCGAACCAGACTATTGAGCTAGCAGCCAAGCATTCAACCATTGCACCACTAGGGCTCTTTAGGTTTTTTTATAGCTTCTTTTTTTACACATAGGATTATCTACCATAGTTTGAGAGACAGTTATTTACTGAAAAAATATTTGAGTGCTTA